CAAAAATGAAGAAATTACATTTCGAAGACACCTGCGAACATCAGATGATTTTGTCAGCAACTTTTTCGTGATTATTACATCCGATTTTTTTTTTTTTTAGTGACAGCACGGGCGACTGATAGGTGCAACACAATAAGGCATACAAGAAAGTTGTTATTTTCGTTTTGGATCATAATTCCATTTTTCCAACAGCACAAATCGCACAGCGTCGATAGCAATATGTATTTTAAATAAGTAAACACAAGTAGCTAAAAAATCATTGGCCACATTTTCATAGCTTTAAAAAATTTCGAAATAATAATGAAGTATCTAGGACAGTAGGAAGTTGGTATCTTTTTTGTATCATGTGTACCTATTATTTCAGTTTACATACAAAATTGTTATGTCAACTTTTATCTGCTGACTGACATATTATTATTGTTACCAAATACATTAGTAAGATTTATTTATCATAAAATAAATCAAGTATAATAGCATTAATATTTGACCTTTGTTGTGTATAACACCCACATAAAAAATGGTAAAGCTCCATTTACCAACCATCTTATATAAGTTTTGAACTTTTATTTCTACATAAACCTGCCTACTCAAATAACAAACACCAACACAACTCACTACATACACTGGCAATCAAAAGTGAGTGCATGGTGTTTTTTGTTTAATATTTGCAATGTTTTTCAAGTTAAAATTTGTTTGCTATTATTTTTATAAAATATGATTCCTGCTTTAATAAAAACCACTTAAGTCAAACTTTCAAACTTTCAAGAAAAATTCAAGAAATTTTCGTCTAAATTTTGAACTTTTTAATCAGAATTTTTAAAAAATGTTTAATACGCAGATAGTTCGGTTTTTTAATTCTAGTAGCACAAGTGTAATTTCTCGGCGGCTAAAATTTTTTTTTTTACGGAATTTGCGGTTTTATGCGCATAACAAGTGCAATTTATAAAATATGTTTAGCGTTAATTTTTTTAATTTTGCTTGCAAACGGTCTTGCGCATTTCATTCTCCTTTTTATATGGTAAAAAGTGCCTAAAGTCGTCAGCAATAAAAAATCTTTAATAATCATCGCGATTTTTTACCCGCTAAAGGCATCCACACACCTGTGCGATTCTGTCAGAACGAATCCGCACCGTTTTTGGTGCTGCAGACGTTACTGTTTGGAAAGCGCAAGTAAGCACACATCTGTGCTATTTTAAAAACTGTCAATTTATAGACAAACAAAAAATATTGTCAACAAAAATAAAATTCTTAACTTTTCTACATCAAACATGCTTTGTTTTCTTAAAGCTTAAATTGACGGCAGCGTTGATCCTGATTAACCCAGACTTAATCCGGATCAACTGCAGTTAATTCCCGAGACGCCGTCTGCCCGACGCTGCCGTCTGTTTATCCTTTTACGACGAAAATTTGTGGAATTTTTCAAGTTCTGTATAAAGTTTGACTTATGTGGTTTTGAAGCATAAACCATATTTTTATAAAAAAATAACAAAAAAGATTTCATTTGAAAAACGTCGCAAATATTAAACAAAAAACACAATGCACTCACGTTTGATTGCCAGTGTACGTCACACTATGCCCGCAATACAGTTTTTTTTTTTTTCATTTGATGTAATTAATTTTTCGGTTTCATTTTAATGCACTCACAAAGTTGTTTGTGCTACTATTTTGTCGTTTATTTGCTAACGCCGAGCTAACAGAGCGGGATGAAAAAAAAAAATTAAGAAAATAGTAATTTCAAAAGTCAATTCGTTTCAGCTGCTGCGCGGCAGCCACAACAACTTGTAGCGTGTGAGATGAAGTGGGAGTTGGAATTGTACATACAGCAGCAACATTGAAGAGATTGTGGTGGTGGTTGTGGTTGTGTTGCCGCAGCTATTGCCACCGTCGAATGCATGAATGAATGGAATGAGGCGATAGATTGTTGGACGAACTGGCTTGCGCACTGCGCAACATATGCGTGCTGAAGTGCGGTGCGGACCAACTTGAGTACATATGTACTTCTATATCGATACAAAATATTGTTTGAAGGGGGAGAGGAGAAAAACGAGGGCGTTGCTTGCATGCTGCTGTATGCTATTGTTGGCATGTACATATTTGCGTTTGCATCTCGCTTGTAGATGGGAAACAAAGTGGGCGATTTGACATTTACGTTTAACTGTATTCTATAAATTCTTTGTTTACTACGATATGCATAAATATCTATACCACTAATGGCTATTTTGGAGTTCAAAGCGTGCATAAAGTCAATAAAGTACAATCAGTTCTATATAAAAATTCTTTTGAATCATAAAAATTAGATTCTTCGAATGCTATTATTTAGTGTTAAGATAAATTATTTAATTGCTGGATTTTTGCAACTACATTATCAAGTGTTAGCGCAAATTTTTATGATATGGACTTACCTATACTAGGTACTATTTTTGGCAGCTGAAAAAGGGTATACATTTTTATTAGATTTTGGAGGCAACAGCTTAACGAAGTTTTTCATACATACTATATGAACATATGTACATATTTATTTTTGACTTTTTTGCAATTGACCGAGTTAGCTTGAGAACTGTGTAGTCCCACAGTCGCGCTGCATCCGTTTACTCTTAGTGTTTTTGTTATAATTTAATTAGCTTGGTTTTTAATTTCGAAATCGAAACTTTATTTAGATACATACATACCTACCTACATATTTACATACTAACGAAAATTACCCTAACTCTCTTTGTTTAAGCACCTTTTCTTTTTGAGCGAAAACGGAAGTAATCAAGTTTCCCTGTGCATAAATTAATTACTATTCTAATGTAAATTTCAACAACTCAATTTTGTTTAGCGAATTTTTTTGTTAATGACCAACAAAAGATAAAATAGCTAAGTCACCAGTTAACAAGCAAACTTCGCTTGAATGAACACACAATAATTTATAGACATTTTCTAAATTAATTTTAATTCATACACTACCAGTTTGTGATTTTTTAACTCCACAATTCGCTTCACGCACAAAGGGTTAATAATGACGACGAAGGCATGCAGCGAATAAAATCGAAAAACTTCACCGTACGCAGGTAGATGTACTCTGCGCCGCTGCTACGTACCATGGCTGCTGTTACCCACACTCTAATAAGCAATGAAAACTCTGCCAACGTATTATACAAAGTGCAAATTTTCCTGATTTTCACATTAACCAAAGCAATAAACTTAACTATTTGTAAAAATTTTATGTATACATATACCCGTACCGTTGTTCAATTGCATATTTTAGTTGATATCTTGGCGGAGTTATACAAAAATTGTCTCTTTTTTTCTCGAGCACAAGTTGTCGCTGTCTCCGCTGCGCTTCTGCTTTGCTGCTACTGCAATCAAACGAACGAAACGGAGTACGCGACGCAAGAGAACTCCAAGTAAAAATTGCTCTAAAATATTAGCGCTACATTTGCACCATTTCACTTAAATTCATTGCACTGCATTACACTAAAATGTTTAAAATTCATACCAATTTGTTTAATTTAAAATGCACTTAAAGCAAATAAATAAATAATAAACGAAAAGGGCAGCTAAATTCTTTCCATACGCGTAGACGTTTTCGTTTTTTTCCACTGCTGCTGTCTACAGCCGAAGTGTTGCCACAACGCTGATGTAGGCGGGGAACAAATAGAATATGGTGAACGCTTTGGATATATGAAAAAGTTTCAAAAAAGGGAAGGTCACACAACACTTTTAAGTTTTCTAAGCATATTTGCAATACAAAATTTATTTTAAGTTACTTGCTTTTTCGAAAGACGTCAGGAGAAACGTGAAAAAGAAGTTATCTTTGCGTTAAATTTTTTCGTTTTTCTTATCGTGTGGCAGCGCTTGTTGAGTTACGAATGAAAACCGCCAGGAGCGCGCTACATTGATTGAAATGAAGTGGAATGACACACAGCATTGCCAGTACTGAGTGACAAGCACGTTTTTACTAAATTTAATTTTGAAATTTATTTAGTTTTGTTTAAATTGAATTTTTGTTTATTTTATTGATTTATTTATTTGGTTTTATTGACTGTTATTTAATTGGATTTCATAAATTGTTTCATTTAATTTCTCTTTTTTTATATTAATTTATTTATGTTCAATCTATTTATTTTAGTTTAATTTAATTTTTGTTTTATCTTATGTGATATGATTTTATTAATCGACTTCCAAAAAAGGAGGAGGTTATCAGTTCGTCGGTATATTTTTTTTTTTTTTTTTTTTTTTTTTTATGTATGTTACGGCATAACTTTGGACCACGTCAACCGATTTCATCGGAAAGGTAGTGTCTCAGAGGTGGTCCCATACAAATCTGGTTAAGATCCGATCAGCGGATCATGAGATATATATATACATATTTTTTTTTATATGGGAGTTGAAGTCGGTTTTTTTTTTTTGCTAAAAATTACTAGTTTTAGTTCTGCTTTATTTGATTGTATTTTATATTATTTTATAGTACATTATTTAATGTAAATTCATTTGATTAATTCAATTTGTTTTTTATTTGTTATATTTTTCATTTATTTAATTTTGGTTTAATATAATTTAATTTATTTTTGTTATAATTCGTTTTATTTTATTTTATTTATTTATTTTATTTAATTTTATTTTATTTTATTTAATTTAATTTAATTTAATTTAATTTAATTTAATTTAATTTAATTTAATTTAATTTAATTTAATTTAATTTAATTTAATTTAAT